GCACCCCAAAAATGACTGGAATAGCCTAGAACTAGACATGAAGTAGCATAACAAAAACAGTAGGACTTTCAAGCAGTCAACACACAAACATTGAATTTAAATCCTCCCCTAACATTAATAAAAAAATCACACTCCAATCCAAGAACAGAAAAAAATTTCATCAAGCTCGAATCAAAGAAATGAGGAACAAAAAACCCCAATGATCTTAACATATTAGCTGAAGGGAAAAGACTCCATTTGGCTCAATAAATTAAATCCCTACTGCAAAGGCACTTGAAACAATCATTCAGTTCAGACTTGTGACAATGGTTAACTAGCAGCTTTAGATAAACTTCACAAATTACAAAACGTGCTAAAGGCCTATTTAGATTATAGTTTTCTACAAGCACTTCTACAAGTTGAAAATAAGAAAAAAAATATACAAACTTCTTTATAAGCTAAAACTAGTTTATGGATAATTAAAAAATAAAGAAATTTATATCACTAGGTTTCTACAAATTAGTTTATACATAAACCAAGTATAACTAGTAAAGAAGTTTATTTTATTTTATTGCTTTTCTTCTTCGCCCCCTATATTCACAAAAAAGTTTAGCCAAAAATATCCTAAGAGTAAATTAAGGCCCTAGTTGGATAAATTTCTTTGTACACACTAACAGAGAAAGAAAAAATGAAATACGATTTTTTTTTTTTCACGAGTGAAGAAAAGCATTAGATAAAAATAGCTAGTGCAAATGTTGAAATCCGCTTTTAGAAAAAGCTAAATGATCTCAGGTCACGAGACAAGCCTGTTAAATTTTCACTTACACCGGAATTATTAAATTTAGGCTTTTAAATTAATTTTCACTTGCTTTAGCTATTGAACATGAATCAAGATATATCCCTAACATCACATTTTACAAGCATGAGAATTAACTTTCGCAACAGATTTTAGAAGAAATTGAAACAATTGAGCAACTAATAATAGCAGTAACGACAATCAGACACTAACGGTGAGATAATCCTCGGGTCTGGGATATGTGGGAACGATGGCGGAGGCCTTTGACTGAGACTCCTCGGCCGCTTTGACTCCAGCGTCAACTACTTGATCAGAGCCGTCGCCGGAATCGGAACAGAAAAAATACCTGCCTCCAACGTCAGTGTTTCTACGGCTTAACCCGCCGAGAGAACTGAGCACTCTGAGCAACGGCGAAGCAGAATCGTGTGCGGGACGGAGCACCGTGGGGTGCAGCCGGTGGATGCGCGAGGATGCAATGAGCTTCAACATTGGCTTCGTCAATGCGATGAATGAAGGAATGGGGCTTTGAAAATTGAAGGTTGGTTCATGCCCTAGCTAGGTTGGATAAGATTTAAGTGACAAAATGAGATTTTACACTGCGCAACACGAAACCGCCATTGATGGTGCTGAAAGCGAAGAGGGCTGGGTTGTGTTCTTTCGTCTAGATTTGTTAAAGCCCTTCATAAACCCTCGTCGGAAATATTTACGAAAATAACCTTTTCTTGCAGTAGAAGTACGGTTTGATCCTCGGTTGACAAAGGTGTGTTGTGTTAGATGTGTATCACAATTAAAAGTGAATTTCGTTCAAAAAATACTTAAACATTAGTAAAATAAATTCGTCATCTTCAAATTGTTAGTTAAAAAGTAATTTTTGTAATATTTAAAATTAATCTCTTATTGGTATTATTTAAATTGAATTGCTTATATGTTACTCAAATTTTTTTTCCCGATAAACCTAAAATTAAGAAAAAAATTTAATAAACCTGATGCAGATATATTTACTGGAATGGACTCATCCGCAATGTTCATACAGAGAGTCCGAATTCTCGGTGCTTGAAATGTTTGGTTTTGTGAATTTTCCTGCATGAAATTAGTACAGTGAAACTAATTCTTTGCAGAGCTTTTCTTTTAAGTATTTAAAATCATTTGAGTTTGGATTTCAAAAAATAATAAAGTTAATGTTGAGGGTATCAAAATAAGATTAGGAAGGAATTAATATATTGAGGTAAAGACATAGAAAGAAATTATATGATGTAAGGAGAAAAGGATGTAGAAAACAAAATTATAGGAAAATCGAGACACTGTCAACATAAAAGATAATACATAAATTAAAGTGAATAATTGGGAATTTCGAACTATGATCAAGAAAAGCGACATTAAGAAATGTGTTCACCGAACATAATCAAGAAAAATAGACAATATTTGGTTGAAAGGAAAGTTGTCCGAAAAAATAAACAATAGAAAGAAATATTAGTTCGGAAATAAAGTTATTCTAGGATAGTTTTAGCAAAACATTTGATTAATAGACAGAACTAACATAACAAACAAGGACGATTTTGAAGTAATTATCATAGTTAATATAATTTTTCTTTTTTTATTTTATGTTAAGTGTAAAAAAATTGAGAAAAAATAAATAAGTGTGTCCGTTTGTGGATCGATATTAGATCTTTTTCATAGAAAATTTTTAAGTTCCAAACTTAGATTAAGATTTTCTCTTGGGTCCTCTTTTTGCGTCATTCAATTGAACTAGGTGTTATCTAAAATTAACGTGTGTTTGAAATTACTTGCATATTAAACATGTATTTATAAATTTTGAGATGATTAGTGCTGACTCAATTATGATCCATACAATAATGACCTGACTTAGGATTAACATTATTCTTATAACTAATCTTGTTTGTAGTCTGACCAATCGATCCATGGATCGTTTCGTATTAGATCAAGAGGTGTGTAGACTACTCGTTCTGTAGTTGATCGAACAGTTATACTATATAATAAGTTATTCAACCGTAAATTAGAAATGATAAATTATAATTCAAATATTGTGTGAATATAATGAAAAAATAATAATATCAAATCTCCCTGAAGATAAACTACTAATTCTAAAATTTAAAAAAAAATTAATAACAATAAAAAAGAAAAAACATAACACACACTCCAATCAAAAATCAACATTAACATCATCAGTTATTTTGTTCTAAAGTGGCAAACAAATAAATCATTAGGAAGGTGGATTAATGTTAGATGGGTGTTTCTGATTTTTTTTTCGGTTAGAGCAGAAGTTTGGAGTGAGAGAGATGAAAGAGAAAGGATTGAGAAGAATAAGAGATGAGAGAGGTGAGTAAGAGTTTGAGAATTTCTTGTTTTTTTTTTTAGTTTTGAGAATGAAAATTATTTAAATACTCTTGACCTTAAAACATAGAATTCATAATATATGATGATATTTTTGTCTACTAAAATTCAATACACTCTGCTAAAATAAATAAATATATATAAAATTCAGTATCCGATTAAGGGATATATTGAATAATCTATATTACCATATCTATTTCAAAGTCATTCAAATACTTCCCATTTTTTCAAAATTAGTAAACAAAAGGTTTATGTTCAATTTTGTACTGTTAAAAACAAATTTATGAAACAGATTTTATAGTCTAGATATAATTATATGCAATCAATTATCATTAGCTTTCCATTTCAGGTGTTAGCATTGAGTAACCTATGCATGACATTGACTAAATTAAGGTAAGAAAGAGAAACATACTCATTCATTTTGAGAAAGTAGCAAATAGGATTATTAAGAATATATGGTTCTTTCTGACTATATATGCAAATTAAGATGCGAATAAGCACCTTACTATATGTGCAAATTAAGATGCAAAGAAGCACCTCATAGTGAAAATGTAGCAGCCAAATAACATCACACAATAGGTAAATGCATACATATTATCCAAAATATGAATCTGCATAACGATGAAACAATGAGTAATCACTTTACAAGTTCACATGCAAAACAATAGGCCTATAAGTAAAATTTAACAAAAAAAAAAAAACTCTAATTACTATCAATATTATTTTGGTTATGCATTTTTCAATTTCAGTATACATGGAAATCAATTGAGATATACAAATGCAAGACATCATATTGATTTCACTGTGACATGCTCAAGTTCATATTTTGTGATGAGTCTGTTTATTTAATTCAATTTTTAGACGGAACTTTTAGCCTTCAAAAATAATTGTATTATTTGAACCTTGAATTGGGTTAAATGTTGTGCAATATTTGACAGATATTGATAAAAATGATTGACAAACTGTAACAACAAAATGGAAATTCATTCTTAGTTAGAAATTCACCCCTAACATTACTAACATATTAGATAAACACATAATTTTATATGTAGATTGATTTTTCTAATATATTGTACTTTACTAATGATTTCTTATTCAATATAGCTTCTATAATAGTACAAGAAATGACTATTATTGTGAAGCAGTGCTATGGACACAAATTACTTCAAAAGTTTTTGTGATGAATCTATTACAAAATGAAACCCAAACTGTCACAGCAACTGTTATCAAGTTCTGAACTCAGGTTCTGAAATTTCTATTAACACAATTAGTTGTAATCAATGTTGTCAAAAACAAGAAAAAATTGTAATTCATCTTATTTTGTTTGAAGCACTTTGCTCTAAATTTCAGTACTATTAAAACAGATTACTGTACTCCGCGTGCTTAAATGTAATATTTTTACTCAGTATATACTGATCATACATTATTCAAAACAATATTGTATTTATCATTCATATTTAAAATACAATGTCTATTTTATTTTTTTTCTAATTATTTTTAATTGTGATACTTAAAAACAATCATGCACAGGTAAAAATACTAATATATATATTAAATAGAATGAGTGAACTTAGCAAATGAGGGGTGCCTGAAGTCGTTGGAAAAGCTTATGTATTTGTTTTGTTACAGCTATGTTGTTCTGCAGTCGAATAGTTACAAATAAGTTTCTTTTTTGGAGTTCTGAATGAGTTTTACTTGTTATAAATTATTGATGATTGGAAATTGTCTGTAATGAATTGGAATGAAATTGTTATATATGATATTGTTACAATTGCCCCAATATGTTTATAATTTAAGCTTAGTGTCATAAAATGAGTATTTTTATCTAAAAAATACAATTAGTAACTCTAGACCAATTTTAAACACTACTTGGTGTATTTTAGTTTGATAATAGGTATGATATTAATTTGGTTTGATAATTGGTATTTTAGTTCTACTTGAGTGTACTTAATTTTCTTGTGTAAAGTTATGAGAGTGCAGAAAGCAGGGTTATTTTTGTCAATTTCTTTGAGGTGTTGTACAGTAACTTGGGGGTTCTAATAGTAAATACGCTTCCAGCATTTGTTTTGGGTCTATAGGTTCGGCCCACCACTTCGAGATGGTTCGATTTTGTTTTGTCCACATTGTGGTCAACGGTCACTATCATCGCCCAGCGGAGGCCGCGGAGAAGGCACGGTTGTTTACGCATCAAGACTCTTCCCTCTCTTTGAAGCATTCAATTTCAAAGTGGATGCTATAGACGGTACATTCTCTATAATCTTGAGGCTTAGTTAGGGTTTTCTGTCACTGTCATGGATTTCGAGAGTCTCTGTTCTTGCCATCGTTGCTCTCAGCTTCGCAGGTATTTCACTTTATTCATCTCCCTCAATTCAAAATTTTCTATAAAACTAAGATCTGGGGTGCAAAAGGATCCTCCCCAACAACAGATCGCAAATCTCTGCAACTTCGATACGGTTAACGTTGAGGTCGGGTACGATTTTAGGTGAAGAACAATTACGGCTGGTTTTATAGTTCGAGAAGTAAAGGATTGATTGAGAGAATTCAGAAGATCCTGTGAAATACAGGTTCGACGATGACCCTGTAGAATACATTATTGAGGATTCAGAATATCACATCATATGTTGCTAATGAACTCGTTTATGTAATTCAATTGTAAAAGGGAAACAGAGACTTTAGCAACCTTGATTTCAGCCACGTCAACCTAATCTTCCACAAGAAGTTCCGGTTCAAGGCACGTGCAATTGACCACTCCAGGTGGACCAGAAAGACAGTTAATTTTCCCTGCACACACACACACGCATACATATATATATATATATATATATATATATATATATATATATCAGAAAGATCAGGAACCACGTCCCACTTTTTGAACTAGCAAAGATTTACGGGCCAAAGTCTCAACTTTTAAACAAATGGATCTTTAGCATACTAAAGTTCTTAAAACCATTTTAACAATAATCAATACCCAATACATAAAAAGGGCATCCTTTTACCCATATAAAAAGCCAAACCCAGTCAACAAAATCATTAAATTTTTTAATTATTACTAAAATTTCTTAGAAAATCTATATTAGTTAAAACAAAGAATATTATACTGCATAGCATGGTCCCCCTGCTATAAAATACTTCATATATATAATTATTATCAAGACATACATATCATTTACAGCAATTTAATACTACCTAATTAAATTCATCTCAACCATTCGAATTCTGATAGTATTCAGGTTAAAGTATAAATTTTGTCTCTGAACTTTACACCCTTCCTCATCTTAGTGTCCACATGAAAAAAATCCCTACATTTTGGTCTCTACATGAATAAAAGTTTACAAAATGTTCCATGTTGTTTGTATCAGTATAACAATGTTAGATTTCAGCTGTAGAGCTGATGTTTAGTTCCCGTGTGAAAAATATGTACAATTCATTTTAGTCTCAACATTAAAGTTAAATAAACCCGATGCTTTGCTATTTGCACCTGACATTTTTTATCTTTCATCCCAACTACATGTATAAAAACAATAACAAACCATTATACTTTCCTTCAGCAAATGGCAGATACCAATCCACAAAGAATTTCTCAAGGACCAAAATTTAGATCAATATAAACATTTGGTATATACAATGAAAACCCAGATCTTCAGGATACATTATTAAATCGAACACGATTACCTTGTGAAGCTCCCCTTAATTTCCATACAGCTATGAATTCCAGTATCCATTCCTACACATCAGTTAATCCACAATGGTCTTCATCAAGAATCTTTTGCGCCCCGAGTAACATCAATGTTCTCATATTGCTGAAATGAGAAATTAACTGATTAAAGTTCATGAAATTTGAAATAGTTTGGAGTTAACATAAAAATGACAGTTTTCAGAAAATAAAAACGCTGGCTCATCGAAAAACCTCTGAACACTACCCTTAATTGGTTATGCATAAATTTGTCACCTAAGGGCCTTTTCAAACCCCTATTTGGCAGTTGTCCTAAATTTAAGGTGACAAGCATATCTGTCCCACATAAATGGTAATGGGTGGTGTCTATATGAGGTAAGAAAAGAATTGTCAAATAAATTTAAATTACTCTAGCAATAACAATAAGAATCAAATTTGTAACATCCCAAAAATAATAATCTTATTATTATTATTACTTTGTTCATCATGTGATTATACATATATACTTAATACTTATTTACAATACCCGTCTCACGGATGCTCCTCACCATCTTCTGCAACATTCTCTATAGATAAATCTACCAAATCATTTGCTCACGTATATAATATATATAACCGAAACACCACAAAAGAAATGAAGGGTAAGCTTATTTATTTTTAACAGTTCTATCATAATTTTGTAAGAATTTAAATAAATTTTGTGGTAACTATTCAATATAAATAAGCTTTCAACAACCAATACACCACACATCATTCATGCAAACTTAATCATTTAACAAAACTTTAACAAGACCTAAACTCAATTTTCAGAATACTCATGCATTAGATTGAATACTCATGAAAGTCATGCACTTGTCATGAACTCTTATAGAAAATATAAGACCCGAACTCCTCTTATTCCAAACCACCATCCTTATCCCAAAACACTATGACATGGTTAGTTCCTTTGCGTCCTCTAAATCACGATACTATTTCATACCAATCCTGCAGATTAATAAACATCCTTCGACTCTCACTACCTAAACCTCATTTTCTATATGAATATGTGTGTTTAGTAGAGTTATAATTACTTCACACTCCAGATTCCAACTCAATGCACAAGTCCCATTTAATTTGATATTTCTCCTTAGAAATGATCATATTCAGATAATTCACACAATCGCAATACAATCATATAACATGATCCAATAGATTTTCGGCACTCAAGCCCAAGTTCTATTCCATATAACATACACCATCACAACAACAGGTTCATCTTATCCATTCTCGTCAAATCATGAAAAACAATCATAGAAATTTCATATCACAATACATATCAAATATGCAGAATTCAATATCATTTATATTGTTCACATTCTCATCATCACTATCATTTCAGTTAGAAAGGTCATAAACAAATTCATGTACAACAATTCATCATCGGAACATAAAACAATAAATAACTAATTCAATCCAGCAAAATCATAAATCATACTAATGTTTTGAGCTTATAAAAATTAATAAGCTTCCTTTACCTCGAAATAGTTTGTCTAAAGCTAAAATTTTACTGCTCAATAGATTGAGCAATTCCCAACTAGAGAATCTGTTGTAAAATGTGGTCGGTTCAACATGCTCCTTATTGCCTCGTCTGCTCAGCATTGTGATCAATTTTCAAGCAGACTGACGTTAACTAACAGCAATGCTACTGCTGCACACTTTATCCTCGTATACATATCAGCTGGTTGTAGAGTGAAGTATGCTGCTTTGAGCTTAAAAGCTGTCCTAGATTTTTTCTCGTCTTATGTGCTTCTCATCTGCTACCAATAGTCGCCACAGGAGCATACCCCATCTCTAAAATGATGGTATCGAATAGGATCTCTAATTACAATATGTCGTTGCTCTAACTTTGCTATAAGTTTTGCAAACTTATGACAATCTCCACAAATCTTTAGGTTCTTCCATATTCTAATAGTTTTCTCTTTAGGAAAGCTCATGATACCAAAAACAATTGCTAGTTTCTCACTGTGGTATCTAAGAGAGTCTTCTCTTTGTTCCCCTTCAAGATCTTGTAGTACAAAATTTGTGTCAGGTACATAACCAGCACCAGTTAGCCTACAAATAAACAGGTTCAACTGTCTATTGATCTCATCTATTTGAGGATGTGATTTATCTCCCAAAATAAAAGCATGTATTTGCTTATTGACTTCAATCCAGCTACACCCAGGTTCTTTCCTTATGCCCCTTATTTTCATAGCCTTCCGAACTTCTGCAACCTCATTCCACCTTTTTGAAGTTGCATAAATATTAGATAATAACACATAAGCTCCTGTGTCATGTGGATCCAACTTTAGAATCTTTTTAGCAGCATACGTTGCTAAATCCACATTCTGACGTGCCCTGCATGCATCAAGCAAAGTCCTCCACGTAACAACATCTGGCTCACAATTCATTTCGTGAATTAACTTAACCATGTCATCAAGCATCCCAGCTCTTCCAAGAAGATCAAGCATGCACCCATAGTGTTCTCTTTCAGGATCTACCCCATACAAGTTCTTCATAGATCGAAAATAGATCCAACCTTCACTTACTAGCCCTGCGTGACTACACGCAAACAGAATCCCAATAAATGTAATATGGTTTGGTTTTGGACCCTTCACTTTCATGGACTCAAATAAATTGAGTGCTTCCATACTGAAACCATTTTGGGCCAACCCAGCAATCATGGTGCTCCAAGAAATTACATCTTTCTTGGTCATCCGATTGAAAATGAGCTTTGCATCCTCCAAACTACCACACTTACAATACATATCTAAAAGGGCATTGTTGAGGATAAGATCTTGGTCAAACTTTAGAACAAGAACATGAACCTGCCTCCCTAACTCCAACAACGACAAACTAGTACACGCTCTCAAAATACTAGTAAGTGTTGACTGATCTGACCGAAAACCTGCTCTGCTCATGCTCTTGTAAAGATGTAAAGCCTCATCACCATCACTGTGTTGAGCAAACGCAGCAATAATGGAGTTCCAAACAACAGAATCTCCAGTGACCATCTCACAGAAAACACTCGAAGCTTCCAGCAGCTCCCCCAATTTTGAGTAAACATCAATGAGCGCACTCCGAACAAATACATCAGACTCCAACCCCACTTTCATTATACAAGAATGCAGTTGTTTGAGATCAGACAACCTCTCACACGCTCTCAAAACAGAAGAGAAAGTAAACATGTTAGGCATGACACCATCCCTAAACATAAAAACCAAGAGCCTCACAGCCCTGTCATTGAGCTTGGCATTAGAGTAAGCGGATATCATAGTTGTCCACGATACAACATTTCGTTCAGGCATTTTATCGAACAACACATGTGCTTCTTCCAAGAGGTTGAATTTGACATACATATTGATGAGAGTGTTGATCAAAAACGTTTTGGGGTGGTACCCATTTGAGAATATGTGGCGGTGAACACGTTTGCCTTCCTTGACAGCACCGTGAGCCAGGCAACACTTGATGAGCTCAGAATAGGCGATAGCGTCGGCCCAAACTCTGCGTCTTTCCATGGCATCCAACACATGCATGGCTCTGGGAAGGTCTCGTTGGTGACAAAAGTTGAGTAGTGATTCTGTCTCTGTGGGCAGAGAGTGTGAAGATACGAGAGAGAAATTACCACTATATGAACAGTGATGCAAGGTCGTTGGTTGCAACAATAGTAAGTGCTTTGATATTTGAATGCTGCATATGTAATTATAATTAAGGGTACTATCACAATGTTACATATTTGAGTGTAAGTGTCAGTAAAACAAAAGCAGATACTAATTACCAAGTATTCCTTTGGGAAATAAGAAGAATTTAAAGAGAAATTAGTTAGTGGAGTTACTTTCGCACATCACACGTTTAATTGCTAAACAAAATAATAATACTAATACGTTATAGTTTGACGGGAGTTGAACTCACTACTAGTAGACCTATTGTAGGTTAATGAAAAATTTTAAATAAATAAAACTAAACAGATGTGTTAAGTGAGAATTGAACTCATGAAAACCATTGTCTATAAACTCTAACCAGTCAAAGGCCTCCGCCATCGTTCCCACATATCCCGGACCCGAGGATTATCTCACCGTTAGTTTCTGATTGTCGTTACTGCCACTATTAGTTGCTCAATTGTTTCAATTTCTCCTACTGTTGCGAAATTTAACAATTCTCATGCATGTAAAATGTGATGTTAGGGATATATCTTGATTCAGTTTCAATAGCTAAAGCAAGTGAAAATTAACTTAAAAGGCTGAATTTAATAATTCCGGTGTAAGTGAAAATTTAACAGGCTTGTCTCGTGACCTAAGATCATTTAGCTTTTCTAAAAGCGGATTTCAACATTTGCACTAGCTATTTTTATATGATGCTTTTCTTCACTCGTGAAAAAAAAATCGTATTTCATTTTTTCTTTTTCTGTTAGTGTGTACAAAGAAATTTATCCAACTAGGGCCTTAATTTACTCCTACGCTTTGATCCAGCGTCAACTACTTGATCAGAGCCGTCGCCGGAATCGGAACAGAAAAAATACCTGCCTCCAACGTCAGTGTTTCTACGGCTTAACCCGCCGAGAGAACTGAGCACTCTGAGAAACGGCGAAGCAGAATCGTGTGCGGGACGGAGCACCGTGGGGTGCAGCCGGTGGATGCGCGAGGATGCAATGAGCTTCAACATTGGCTTCGTCAATGGGATGAATGAAGGAATGGGGCTTTGAAAATTGAAGGTTGGTTCATGCCCTAGCTAGGTTGGATAAGATTTAGGTGACAAATTGGGATTCTACACTGCACAACACGAAACCGCCATTGGTGGTGCTTAAAACGAAGAGGGTTGTGTTCTTTCATCCACATTTATTAAAGCCCTTCATAAACCCTCGTCAGACATATTTACGAAAATAACCTCTTCTTGCAAGAAATACGGTTTGATCGTCTGTTGACAAAGGAGTGTTATGAATCGTGTTTGATGCGTACCACAATTAAAGTGAATTTCATTAAAAAATATTTAAACATTAGTAAAATAAATTTTTCATCTTCGAATTGTTAAAATAAAAAGTAATTTTTGTAATATTTAAATTGATTATGTTTAAATCGAATTGCTTATATGTTACTTTAAATTTTTTTCTCGGTGAACCTATAATTAAGAGAAGAATCCCAATAAACCTGATGCAGAAATATTTATGGAAATCCACAATGTTTCATACAAATAGTCCGATTTCTCGGTGTTCTTTGCTTTGTGAATTTTCCTGCATGAAATTAGTTCAGGGAAACTATTTCTTTGCAGAGTTATTTTTTCTATTTAAAATAAATTTAAAGTATGGATTTCAAAAAGTAATAATTTAAAATAATAAAAATAAGGTTTAATACCTCTTTTGGTCCTTAGAAGTTCAATGTTGTCCCAACTTTTGTAAAAAGTGTGCAAACAAGTCCTTTTTGGAAACGGCAGCTGACAGAGTGGACTGAAGTTAGCTATGTGGCTGTGTGAGGGTAATACGTGGCTGTGTGAGGGTGATACGTGGCTGTGAGAGGGTAAACGTGATAATATTACTGAGGTTAAGAAATCAGAAGTTTCGTTGATCTCCGCAAAAAACCGCGAGGCCAGCCCTCCACCTGCAGAAAACCAAAACCAAAAATAAAAACCAAAACCCAAAGATCCAGCGGCCAACCTCGGTGAAGTTTCATTGATCTCCGCAAACCTGTCGCTCGAGACCCACCGCGCGAACCACCATCGAAACCCCAAGGGTCGCGCCTCTGCCGCTGTGTCGCTCACAAGCTCCGCCGCCGCAGACCACCCCAAAGATGTCGAGAGTTGTCCCAACGTGAGAGAAAGGAAGCTGCCATATGGTTGCAGAGCAGCGCCAAAGGAGAAGAAGAGAAGGGAAAACTATATCTTTCCCTCACATGAGCGTGACGAAGAAGACATAAGAAGAAGAGGGTAGAAAGAAATTGGGATTTACAATTTAAGGTTCATAATCCTTTCAGATTGAGAGTTTTCCCTCTTAATTCTAATTTTAATTAGGTTCCTAATTTTCAAATTTAGGATTTTTTGAATTAGGAAAACCACGTATTACCCTCACACAGCCACACAGCCACGTAGCTAACTTCAGTCCACATTTTTTACAAAAGTTGGGACCACATTGAACTTCTAAAAAAAAGTAGGATTCAATTGAACATTTACCACCTTTTGAGGGACCAAAAGAGGTATTAAACCTAAAAATAATATTGAGGCATCGAAATCCATATATCTAAAGATGATATCAAGGTGAAGATATTGAAAGGAACAATATGATGTAAATAAGAAAAAGATGTGGACAACATGATTAAAGGAATATTGAAATAAAGGTCAAAGAGTTAAAGTGAATAAATAATTATCAAAATTCGAGTCGTATATCAAGAAACGTGGTATTATTAATTGGACAAAATAAAAAAAATTGGACAATAGTGAGTCGAAAAGGTCAAAATCGAAATAAATACAATTCATTTAGTTTTTCTTTTAATATTTTGGCTTAATTGTGAAAAATATGAATAAGTTATTCAAATGTAAATGAGATGATAAATTATTGTTATCATTCAAATACTCTGAAAACACTGCGAAAAAGGAAAATAACAAATCTAATTACGACGGCTACAATTTGGATTATTCTTTTCGTTAAATTCTTGTATTAATATATGGTTTACCTTGTTATTTTAGTTTTTGGCACTTTACATTTGCTAGTAGTCATTTTCATCCATCTTTACCTTTCTTATTTTCCTTTCTTATCTCTCCATAAATCATTCAATCTTTATATACAAAATATATGATTAGTGAAAAGAAATGTACAAGTTCTTTTATTCAACCCCACATCAAAAGATAAACGAATTATATATATATATATATATATATATATATATATATATATATATATATATATATATATAATTATCTATAATATAAGTGGTTTATACATTAATTACATATTAGTTATGGAATTCAAGAATCAACACACTCTAATTTAGATTGAAAAAGAATAGTTTGCTTATTTGAAAAAAATTAATTTAATTTATTAAAAATAATTGACTGAATAATATCGAATCAAAATCCTTAAAAAATGTTAAGATTTATATCATGGATAAAATTATGTTAAATTTTTGTTTATTATCTAGTACAATAATTGGATCTTTAAAAAAAATCATTAGGTTTCTTTAGTTCAAGGGTGGCAAAACGAGTTTCCCATCAACCCATCAAGAAAAATGTGGGTTAGTCCAACATATTGAACCCATCAGCTCGTATCAACTTGACTTGTTTGGCTCATTAGTCAGTTGGATCGTATAACGGGTTGGTCGTAACTCGTTTGTGGAATCTCGAAACAACAGTGAATACAAAGTGTGCATAGTAAAATTCATGTTGTTTGAACTAAACGAAAATCCAAAATAAGAAGTGACAAAGTTTCTCGTAAGTAATAATGAAAATCACGAAAAACACAAACAAAGGAAGTAGCTTTGAGGACCCACTATGTTTCCTAAAAGGTAGATTTTGTAAGGCTTTGACTTCGTCAAAATGACTTTGAAATAAGTTTCAGGAATATAAACAAATGTTCAAATAAAAACCCTGAAAACAACAACAGGAACAACTAGAACAATTTTTTATGAGACCTAAATTGAACGGTTTGGACCAAAATACAGTAAATTCACTCGAGGTGAATAAAACACAACTCACAACCCCTTACAATTAAGAGTGACATCAACATTAGACAAGGGCAAAGACTCAAACCACAAAGACCCAATACGACGAGGATCAAGTGGTTGACACTAGTGATCGTAGTGGATGAGTGTTGATTGTTGTGTAGACGCGCGACAACTCTTGTTATCGTGTTAGGGATCAAGACCCCCCCGCTCGTTGAAATCAAAGATTGACTCAAGAAGAAGAATATGAGTTAAAGATGGAGAGGATGAAGAAGGTGGGAAAGAGCTCGTGGGAACCTAATTAATCACATGTCACAATTTTCTAGAAACAAAAAAGAACAGGTTGGCTCATCAACCCATCAATCGATGAGACGAGTTACATTTTTTTACTTGTGTTGTGTTAATGGATTGACCATCCCTTTTTCAATGGGCCAAGAATTGGTTGGGGCAAAATGAGTCTAGTGGTTGATGTTGGTGGCCGTAGTAGATGAGGGTTGATTGATGTGTAGACATGTGACAACTCTTGTTATTGCTGCAGATGATCGAGACCTACCGCTTGTCGGAGAACTAAAATATGAGCTAAAAATGGAAATGATGAAGAATGTGGGAAAGGGCTTGTATGAGCTCAATTAATCACGATTAACAATTACCCAATCAAAAAATAAAAGGATTAATTGACTCGTCAGCTTGTCCAAGAATGGGACGAGTTACATTTTCTGACCGTATTATGTTAAGGAGTTCATTTTCAACAGGACTAAAAATGGGTTGGACCAAAACGACTCTAATGATTGACGCCAGTGGTCATGGTAGACGAGGCCTTGTTAATGTGTAGCCGCATGAGGACTCTTGTTATCATCGCTGGTGATTGAGACCTACCTTATCAGAATTGAAGATTAATCAGAGAATAAGAATATGAGGTGAAGGTGGAAATTCTTCAAATAAGGTAGGAAAGGGCTTTTGGTAATCCAATTAATCACAGGTCACAATTTTCCAAAAAAGAAATCTGTTCAAGGATGGGACATGTTACATTTTCTTACCCATGTTGTGTCAATAGACTGACCTAATCCCATTTTTAATAGTAAAAAACGAGTTAGGACAAAATGGGTGTAGTGGTTGACACTCGTGGCCATGGTGGATAAGGGTTGGTCGGTGTGTAGATGTTTGACGACTCTTGTTATCATTGTTGGTGATCGAGACTCACTGTTTGTTGGAATCGAAGATTAATTAAAGAAGGATAATACGAGTTGAAGATGGAGAGGATGAAGAAGGTGGAAAAGGGCTTATGGAAGTCAGTTAATCCCAAGTCACAATTTGAAAAAAAGAGAGGATGGAATGGCTCATTAGCTTGTCCAAGGACGAGACATGTTATATTTTCTGACTATCTTGTGCTAACAGACTAACCCGACCCATTTTCAACCGGTCAAAAACAAGTTGGGCCAAAATGGGCATAACAGTTGATGTTGGTAGCCATGATGGATGTGTAGCATAGCGACTCTTGTTATTGTTGTTGATGATTGAAACCCACCAATTGAAGAACGAAGAAGGAGAAAATGAGCGAAGATAGAGAGGATGAAGAAGGTGGAAAAGAGCTTATGAGAGCCTAATTAATCATAGGTCACAATTTTCCAAGAGAAAAAAGATAGATTAATAAGGATAATATAAGTTACACTTTTTTTGAACCGTGTTGTACTAATGTGCTAGCTCAATCCATTTTCAGTGGACCAAAAACGGTTTAGGCCAAAATGGATGAGCTTGACCCTTTTTTTTTCTCTCTCATACTTGTTTTCTCCTTATTATTACTGGTTAAAAAAATGTTAACGTTATATTCACTCAGCCTGTACATAAATAAATAGCAAAAATAAATAGAAGTGGATATCTTTTTCAATATCTAAGTTTATTTAATGTGGATTTTTTTTAGGTTGCAGCGTTGTCATGTGTTATTATTATTATTGGTTTAGTAATTCCCCTTTCTTAACATTTTCATAATAATTACAACATATTCATAATATTTTCAACCTGGGTATTCTTCATTGAAATGGCTTATTCAATTGTAATTGGAATTACTAAAAGATAGCTGATCAAATGTTTTAAGTTTCCCGAGAACAAATATCTTGTAAAATAACAAGAAAAATAACTTACAATTAAAAAATCAACCACCGAAATCCATCATGACGTTTTCCAATAACATTAGTTTTAAAGTATCTATGATTCGGAGTCATGTTGTAGATTTTATTAAGGAGTGAAAATAGTATTACAGGTAGTATATATTAAATAGAATTGAGTGAACTTAGCAACTGAGGGGTGCGCAAAGTCATTGGAAAAGCTTATGGTGTTTCCGTTATCGAATAGTTTGAAATAAAGTTTTGTTTTTTGGAGTTTTGAATGAGTTTTGCTTATTATAAATTATTGACGATTGAGAATTGTTTGTATTGAATTGGAATGAAATTGTGATATATTACATTGTTGCAACTGTTCTAATATGCTTTTAATTTAAGCTTAGTGACATATTAAATGGGTATTTTAATCTAAAAAATGTAATTAGTAACACTAGACCAATTTTAAACACTACTTGGGTGTATTTTAGTTTGATAGTTGGTATTTTATTTCTACTTGGGGATACTTATTTTTCATGTGTAATGTTACGAGAGTGCACACGCAGGGATATTTTTGTCAATTTCTTCTATGGAGTTCTACAGTAACTTGGGGCTGGTAATAGTAAAACAGCCTTCCAGCATTTATTTTGGGTCTATCGGTTCGGCCCACCATTGGTGGTTCCTTCGAGACGGTCCGTTTTTGTTTTGTTCGCATTGTAGTCAACGGTCAATGTCATCGCCGAGTGGAGGCCGCGGAGAAGGCACGGTTGTTTACGCATGAAGATTCTTCCCTCTCTTTGAAGTATTCAATTTCAAAGTGATTCCTATAGACTATACATTTTCTTTAATCTTGAGGCTTAGTTAGGGTTTTCTGTCACTGCCATGGATTTCGAAAGTAGGAGGCTTCATCTGCTAATCTCTGTTCTTGCCATCGTTGCTCTCAGCTTCACAGGTATTTTACTTTATTCATCTCCCTCAATTCAAAATTTTCTATAAAATTAAGATCTGGGGTGCAGGAGGATCCTCCCAATAACAGATCGCAAATCTCTGCAAATTCGATACAATTAATGTTGAGGTCGGGTAGGATTTTAGGTGAAGAACAATTACGGCTGGTTTTATATTCCGAATGATTGAGAGAATATTTCCATAATTTTATCAGTAGCATGAATTCTAATGAATTCCTTGGACCTGTTGTAATCAATTCTAATGAATTTCCATAACAGAGCAGAACAAAAACAAATAAATTTTTTTTTTTTCGAAAAGAGGTCTGTTCTTCAATTTCATCCTTGATATATTATCTAATAACTACCTCCTCCCGTAAAGGGTTCCTAAACTACAAGAGAAAAGGAAAATTATATAAGTAATATCAAGTATTAATATTAATAATCTTGCCAATTAATCTCTCTAAAACTGAAAAACCCTTCAAATTGATCTCTAAGCATTTGTAAAATATGCCAACTTGGAAATTAACATGATTGATTGATTTCTATACTTGAAAGATTAAACTTATACGTAAGTTATTCCTTTCAGCTGAAAAGTGCAGGGAACTTGTTGGAGAGGATGGGTCATCCCAGAGTGGAAAGTTTACCATCTTAAATTGCTTTGATATGGGTTCTGGAACTGTAGCATGTGCTGTGAAGGAAGGTGTGAAGCTCTACTTTTACAATATCAGATCTTCTCATGTTGAAAGAGCAAGGACTGGTGCAATTGAGTCTGCCCTTGTTCATGCTGTTAGTCAGGGTATGTCCCCAACAGATTCAGCAAAACATGCACAGAAAGAAGGTAAGAAGGCAGCGAAATTGGCTTCCCGTCAAGCCAAGCGGATTATAGGTCCCATCATCTCTTCTGGATGGGATTTCTTTGAAGCTATTTACTATGGTGGTACTTTGACAGAAGGTTTCCTTAGGGGCACTGGTACTTTGTTTGGTACTTATGGTGGAGGGTTCCTCGGGGAGCAAAGGCTTGGTAGATTTGGCTATCTTGTTGGAAGTCACATGGGCAGTTGGGCTGGTGGCAGAATAGGACTAATGATTTATGATGTTGTTAATGGACTGCATTTGTTGTTGCAATTTGTTCAGACAGGAGAAATTGTAGTTAGCGAAAAATCTGAACCATCTGAAAGTTCCTTTTTCGGCGGCGAAACTCCTGTTTATGACACCTCTGAAGGCTCCGGATTATATGAATCACCTCCCAGTGAAGAATCCTACGCCTATGAAACAGATAGAGATTCTGAACTGTGATGTGATGAAAATGTGAAGTTCATATACTGGTATTTGCTCAAATTTTTTGTCAGCTCTGAAGGCTGTTTCCCGTGTTGGCAGATCATTTCCCACCAAGAATCCAATGCCTAAGAATCTACTGAACCTCACAGCTATGAAACATATGAAGATTCTGAACTTGGGTAAAATTGAAGTTCGTATATTGGTACTTGCTCAAATTTTAGGTTGATTATTAGTGTTTTACTTCAATGTCTTTGCTTCAATGTATCAGGGATTGCTAACCTCTGGAGACTCTACTAGTGCTCCACTTCATGTAATTGGCTAATACTGTAGGTCCCAACTTTTATGCTGAATATATCTGTTGCCTTCAATTTTCAAGAAACTCTAAATAGCTGTGCTGGGATTCCATGGAAACAGAAGGAAATCACATAAAAACAGAAATTGGTTGAAATTAAAATGAAAATATTTTCTTTTCATTTTTTTTTCTGTAAGCTTGAACATTGTGATTTTGCAAACTGTCCAAACCAAATCCCTCATTTACTCTTTGAAAAACTCCAGTGGCTTACAACAATCCTATTAAAATATTTGAGAAAATCGAAAATAATTTTATTTAGGGGAAAATATGCCAGCACTCTTTTACAACTATGGATGGGTTGCAAATAGGGAACGGAGGATAGATCCTGACAAATGAACTTTCGTTATCTTTATACAGAAATGAGTTTACATTTAATATTTGAAGAAAGAAATTAAGGAGAGAAAAATCCATCCTTGCTGCTTTGAAATTATTTGCAGCATATTGCCACATTTGTTATGGAATTCTCTAAAATGTTCTATTGCATGTAGATCTGAAACCAAAGATCAATACGACGAAATAGTATTTTACTATCCAGTTAGCTTCAGAATTTAATTTTGGTTGTGATAGAATAATTTTAAAAGAATTATGGAAGAAAAATAAACTAATTTGTGTTATAATTTATAAGTTTGGTTTATACAGTTAAATATCAGATTTTGGATTAATTATGAAATATTTGTGTTCTTTCATATATTTTTTATTTATTTTAAGTTTTCCCACAAATACTTAACAATTTCTTTTGTCTGCACTGCCTATAATGATTGTGTCCTTAGTTAGATGTAGTTTAGTGACAGATATCTGTTATTTACTTTTTGAACATAATCATACATTTTTTTGTAATCTTACAGCATTTTCTTTAACAGAAAAGAGAGTCTTAAGTGCGATATGACATTGGCATATAGAGTCATTTCACATCAATGAGTTGGAGAAGTTAACAAATATCATTGATATAGATAATGTAACTATATTTGGATATATTACACTCTAATTCTATCGATTCTCTATAATTTAAGTTAGTAAAGATGCACTAATAGTTCAATTTTTTAAATGATAAATAATATTAAAATAAAAAAATATTAACTTAGTAATGATTTTGAAATTAAATCAGTAATATTCTGTAATTCATATCTCTGATTCTTCCTAGGAAAAATTATTTATGCAAATGAATTATATTATTAATAAAATTAATTATATATAATATATAATGTTACAGTTATACCTTTTGGCTTTAATTTAAGTGTATTGACAATGTAGTTTTTGATTACTATAATTTAAATACGCTAAATCTATCTATTTTTTAAATGTTTATACTGTAAGTTGTATCATGATTTCAATATAGTTCACGAATTTCTTACAGTGATCTTATAAAATAATTAAATTTAGTTTGTACAACAGTTATGAACACAATATTGATTATTTTTTTTTTTATTAAAACACAATTTTCTTAATTTCTACAAATTATTAAAACACCAGTGGAATATTTTTACAAGCCACTCATGCTCCTATCAATATATATAAACATGAGTCGCAGCATTTCAATTTTAAAAATACTCATCTTATTTGCTTTGTGCCAATATAATTATTAATATTAGTGGAAACACATGAAATTTTTATTAAAATTTTTATTAAAGTAATTTTTATTAAAAACATTTTGTGTAATTTTTATTATTAAAGTAAATTTTATTAAAAATAATTTGTATAATTTTTATTATTAAATATTTTTATTATAAATAGTTATTTGAATTTAAAAGAATAGTTATTAAAAAGATAAAATAATAAAATAATTAGTAGCTTATAAATAATTAAATTTAAATTAATGGTTATTTAAAAGGTAAAAATAGAAATATAATTATTTTTGTTTAAAATAATAGATATTTAAAGAATAAAATTGAACAAAATATGTAAAAAAATTATATAAGTATAGATAACTTTTCAAAAACAAATATATTATACTGATTGTACCGAGACAAACTTGAAATAAAATATCTAATGTTTCATTGAAAATATTTTTTTTTACAAATAAAAAATATTTTCAATATTAAAAACATTTTAAAATAGAGGGGATATGTTGCCTAAATAAAAAGAAAAAAATTAAGAAAAAGGAAATATGTATAATTGCAATTAGTTTATCATGGTAACAGTAACTGAAGACGAGGAACGCTAATCAACTGGATTCTTTAAATATATGATTCTTATCTTGATTATGGAGTTTATACACATAAATAAATAAATAAATAAATAAATAAATATATATATATATATATATATATATATATATATATATATTCTTTTTCTTTGGTGTCTATCTTATCTTGAAAATTAGTCTTCTGTGAAAATTAGTGCAAATTTAATTTCTTAAACATTATGCAAAACAAACAAAAAAGCTTCCCATAAAATCAAATATTAATGATTTGTTATTTGATTCGTTCTCACCTATACAAAACTTTATTTTAAAGAAAAATTAGTACAAAAATCAATTATACAAGCTAGTATTGTGATATCATGCTAGTTGTGTAATTTGTCAATAATATTTGTTTTTTACTTTTTTTGGTTTAAAATTGTTATAGCAAAGAAAGTTATTTATTAAATATAATATAAAGTGATGTGTTAACATTGATAAATATTTTATAATTATAATTTTTTAATTAAAAAATATAGTACTTTATATCCACACTCATTGCTTCACTGGTGCAGTGACTACTTTTATTTTTTCTGTTAAATTATGATCCATGAGTTATAATATATTTAAGCATAGTAAAAGAGGGAGAGTTGGAACCTATAATACATAATAAGCTTTGATTTTTTTCATGAACCATATTCATATAAGGATTTTTAAAAAATGTTTACATTTTATCAATTATACAGTGTATTAAATAATTTGAACATTGAACACATATTTTATAATAGGAGATACATTGTTGAACCAAAAACAAGTAACATAAAAATTTAGTTTTCAACATTAGTATTGATTTGAAAATATCACTAAAAAATAGGTAGAAAATAGTTTTTAAGTCAATTTTGTTGTGTTAATTTCTATTAGTTTGCTGTAAGATAAATGAAGTCAATGCAACAGTAATGCACAGAAAACGAGCACTGAAACCTAAAGAATCAAAACCCATCGACTAAAGGTCAGTCTTGTCTTTTAATTGAAAGGAAATACAGAGTGCAACGTGCTCTCTGTCAAGCATTCAACAAAAGAATATATTATAACCAAAGAAAGAAGGGTGTTCCTCCCTCCACCTCCATAGCCTTCTCCCTCCACCTCCCCAATTATCTTTAATTCCAATTATATCCTTAAAGTTAAAATTTTTTATTTTTATTATTTTATTATTTTAATATTTAAATATAAACTAATATAAATATACATTATTAAAATACATTAAAAAGATATTCAAAAATAATAAATCAAAATATTAAAATATCTAATAAAATAATAACAGAAACATAAAATTAAAACAAAGCTTAAACGGATGTTGACATCCGTTGAAGGATGTCATCCGTTTAGGCTTCGTTTTCATTTTACGTTTTAGGGTTAAAGGATTATTGGAAAGATTATTGGAAGGATTATTGGAAGGGTTTAGGGTTTAGGGTTTAGGATTATTGGAAGGATTATGACTACGTACCTGGAGAGGAACCACGACAAGCACATTACACCACAAACGCACTGCACCACGTACTGCACCGAAAGCAAGAGGAAGATTGCTTGATAATTCTTTTCACGATCACTGAGCTTTGCAGAAAAATATTTTACTCATACAAGGAACTACGTAGGTTATCAGTGAAATATGTTATAAATGAGTAAAATTAAAAAATAATAATTCTAAAAATAAAATTTTACTGAGGGGCAAAATAGTAAAGGGGAGGTGGAGGGAGAAGGCTGTGGTGGTGGAGGGAGCAACACCCAAGAAAGAAAGAGAGAATTCAATCATTTGTCTGCCTCCTAGAGGCCCACTACATTTCCTTTTGTATCCATTATTTCTCCACTGAAAATCCTTTAACCGTGTGCTCTCTTTTCTCTCCCTCACGTGCTGCTGTATGCCCTTATTTTTTGCAACAGGTGCTAGGTGTCCTGAGTCTCCAACTAACTCATCCTTTCCCTTTATTTCTTCTACCAATTCTGCCCCTTCAGTCTCAACGTTCTTCTCACTCGTTACAATACCCTCCCCATCAATAATAACCTTGTCCTCAAGGTTAAAGTCCGGGTCAACTTTGACAAAATCTAGAATGTCTTCCCAAGTTGCTTCTGTTGCAGGTAACCCAACCCATTGAACTAAGACTTGTGAAAGTATTTTAGATCTGCAGAGGATGTCATGTTTCTGAAGGATAGATTGAGGAAGCAATACAGGACCTTCTGGTAGTGTAGTCAAAGGTAGGGGAACGTAGGTAGTGGCATGTGAACCTTTGCATTCCTTTAATTGAGAGACTTGGAAGATGGGTGGATTTTAGCAGTGGGCGGTAGTAAGAGTTTGTAGGCCACCGTTCCTATTCGAGCGATAATTGAAAATGGACCAAAATACCTCATCCCTAATTTCTGGTTTTTTCTCAAGGCAATGGAATTTTGTCTATACGGTTGAAGTTTCACCAAAACCAGATCACCTACCTTAAACTCCTTATGTATTCTTTTGTGATCAGCATACTTTTTCATGCTTTCTTGAGCTTTCAAAAGCTGTCATTTTATTTGAGTCAAGGCTCTGTCTTTTTCCCTAATAATTCTTGTACTGTTGGAGGATCGTTAGGATCCACCGTGTACTTCATTATGGTAGGGAGTCTCTTCCATATACCGCCTTAAATGGTGTGGTTTGTAAACTGGTATGAAAAGTCGTATTATACTAGAACTCTGCCCACGGTAAAAGCCTGGTCCAGGTCTTAGGATTCTCAAAGGTAAAGCACCTGAGATACATTTCAACACACTTATTTAGTGCTTCTGATTGTCCATCTGACTGGGGTGGTAAGTCGTAGTCATGTTCAAGGTTGTGCCACTCAACTTGAAAAGGTGTTGCCAAAATTGACTTATGAATACCTTATCTCTGTCATAGACGATGGTTCTAAGAAACCCATGTAGTTTGACAACAACATTAATGAACAATTGTGCCACTTGCTTGCTATTGAAGTCTGCCTTTAGGGGAGCAAGGTGAGCATGCTTCGACAATCTGTCAATGACCACCATAATCACCGTATATCCATTAGAGGGTGGAAGGCCTGTAATGAAGTCCATGGCTATATCTTCTCATATCTGGTCAGGAATTGGAAGGGGCTGGAGTAACCCTTGGGGTAGAGTGGTGGTCGATTTAGCTTGTTGGCATATAAGACATTCCTGGACGTATTGAGTGACATCTTTAAGCATACCAGGCCAATAGAATTGAGAGGAAAACCGAGCCATATTTCTGGTTATTCCCGCATGACCCCCTAGTATGGAACTGCGGTATTCCTTGAGCAACATTTGTATAATCTCAGCATCTCTAGGAATTACAACTCTGTGCTTCCAAAGTAAGTATCCATCAAAGTAGGAATAATGAATGTTGGGTGGTTTTCCTACTACACAAGCTTGAATGACAGATTGGAGAGTAGGGTCTATTTGAGTGGCTTTCTGAATTTTTATCATCAATTCATTCTCTCCATATGACCATGCCATAAAGAAGGATCTGGATAGGGCATCCGCAACTTGGTTATCTTTCCCAGGCTTGTATTCAATTGTGAAATCAAATCCTAAAAATTTGTGTAACCAAGCTTGCTGCTCTGGAGTTTGAAGGGATTGGTCCAGTAAGCTCTTGAGGCTTTTTTGATCAGTTCTTATGATGAACTTGTGGCCCAATAAGTAATGTCTAAACTTGGCAATTGCTTCGGTAATGGCATAGAATTCCCTTGTATAAGCAGATTTATGTTGCATACGAGAAGATAATTTCTTAGAAAAGAAGGCTATAGGGTGCTTGTCTTGGCTAAGAACGACACCAATTCCCAAGCCTGAAGCATCAGTCTCCAAAACGAAAGATTTTGTGAAATCAGGCAAGGCTAGGATTGGGGCAGTGGCAATAGCTTGTTTCAGGGCCTCGAAGGCTTGAGTTGCTGGAGCAGTCCATTTAAAATTATGTTTTTTTAGGAGATTGGTCAAGGGATGAGCAATTGCAGCATATCCTTTGATAAGCCTTCGGTAATATCCCGTTAAGTTAAGGAACCCCCTCAGTTGTTTTGTGTTTTGAGGGCAGAGCCACTATAAGACAACTTGGACCTTGGTAGCATCCATTGTCACCCATTTCCTAAGACAATATGGCCTAAGTAGTCTACTTGAGATAGACCAAAAGAGCATTTCGATAATTTGGCATATAATTGGTTTTCCCGCATAATGTGTAACTATTTGTTTTAGCTTAGTGCAACATTACAATGGCTAGGTCTTTTAAAGCTTTAAAAAAATAAGATTGTGTGAAAGAAGTAACTCACATCTTCGAAATTCCATTTATAGTAAAAGCTATTTTTCATTTTATGACAATTTTAAAAAGTTATTTTCTTGGAAGGATAATTATCGTTTTTTAAGCCTTTAAAAATAAATTCTCAAAATATTCGGTTGTCAAAAAAAAAAATACAAGTGATATCTGATTTTTTTTTTCATCAAACATAGTTGCCTGAATACCATGATCCTCAACAAGAAGTTAATAACATCCAAGAAATTGACCACTCAAGTTTAAAAAAATTGAAGTGACGCAACATTCAACATATATAATAAATGAGTAGAAGTCCTAAACATTATCATTACCAACCAACAAAAATTTACACTGATAAAAATGTTTCTGAAATGTTCGTTTAAGTTACAATATCACAAATTAAAATAAATTTTAATTATTAGATTAGGAATTGGTGTGAACTTCGATATTTCTAGATATTGGACGCACAATTTCAAAACAACTTTTTACTTGAAGAAAGATCGTAATACCTGGAGTTTGAAATTGATCTTATTGGAATAACAGTATTTCATAGAAAATATGTGTTGGGAGTTCAAGTTCGAGCCATTAAAACGATTAACACATTGCATTTGTATCGTCACCTGCAACATCAATTACCAACGGCTACACAAAGATGAACAAAATATGCAAGACATAAATGTATAACATATATATTGTAATAAAATAATGATTCAGTAACGTTTGATCGATTATCGTTATTGTCGGCTATATATATTAGCTACTGTTGTTACACTCTTGCACATATACACACTTTGCAGCATTCAAAAGCAGGTTCAAAAAATTTAACATTTCTAGAGGAATACAAGGTATGAGTACGAGGTAGAAGTAACAAAAATCAACAGCGTATGCACACATCATCACTGGAGTACGAGGTAGAAGTAGCAAAAATCAACTTGGTGGTTCATTTCCAGTGCAGAAATAAACTACATATGTCCTCTACCTATGGCGCTGCCACTTACACCATCCATAATCGCAAATCGCATGTCTTCAGATGGTTTCCAATGCCGTTTCCTTTGGTTGATGAACCAATTGTTTATCTGCTTTTGATCAAGTCCTGTCATTTCTGATAGTTGCACTTTCTCCTCCTCCTAACAAACAATTTGTTTCAACCCATTCATATCAAATTTCCCAATCTTTATTCTATTCACATGGAAAAGTAAACATATTCTTGACAGTGTCCACAACACAAGTGTTCATGGTTCAATCAAATGCTCACCATTTTGTGCCTATTTTTTGCAACCAACAAATCAAGCTACCTCATACCACAACTAGAAATATCGCACACATTTTCAAGTCTCAACACGTACAAAATATGGCAGAGGAGTGAATCCTCACTACCTTGAAATGAAAACCACTATCACTACAAGTTACAAGACAGTACTATCGGTATTTTCAAATCATTGCTGATTTTTCAAGGGGCTAACTTCAGATATATGTGTGTGTATATATATATATATATATATATATATATATATATATAGGGTGAAATTATGTGAATGAAATACACAACAGAAAGACAGTGATGATATTAATGTGAATTACCGTAGGATAAGGCCACCTATAGTGAGTGCTCCACCAGTCCAAGAGTATCCTCCTTGCCTCCTTCGGAAGTTTACCCTTTTTCCTTTTCTTCAAAAATTCCTTTCTTAAGCTGCTAAGATAACCACCATACTTACGAAGGAGTATTTCTTTAAGCTCTTGATCACCGGGACGAGACCCAGAAGATTCCTCCACACCTTCCACTGTTTCCATCTTCTCCCAACTCAATTCATCTTCTGACGTCCCAGCCGCCTCATCTGGAAAAAATGCAGAAACATACAAAACAGATATTACTTGTTATTCAGAACTTCTTTTACCACTTTTTTGAAGATGGGAAATTTCTAGTTTTTTTTTCATAATGGTCAGCTAGCCATGGACAGAGAAGGAGGGCGGTTAAACAAGGAAGGTGCAGTACAGAGGAAGATGAATGAGGGTGAAAAGCCAAAGCATGAATTAAACTTGAAGATGATGTAAAAATTTGGCTACAATTATTAGTGTCAGTACAGGAAAATATAAACCACCCCAATTATTACAAGCCAATGTCATGGCCTTTCTCAACATTTTTGTTGCTGTTTTTTCATCTCTTCATGGTTTTTGCATTAAAATGGTCCCCCACTTCGATATGTTTAATTCGAGACTGACTCCACTCATTTATAGAAAGATCCAACACCACTCTTTCGCTTTCGCGTACGAAAAGAAAATCGCATACGGTCACTTTCATAAATACATACTACTTCCTCTATATACAAACAAAATGAAAAACCTCAACTAAGATTTTCGGGTAACTATCCCATATTATTGCACCGTGCAAAAACTTAACAGTCGAAACCTTTCCATTTTCGTAACTTGGATATGTAAGGACTCCAGAAGCCATAATATCGCAAATTTTCAGTATTAATGAAAAGATTCATGCAACTTTGACATGCACAGGAAACTAAAGATAGTAATGTTATGTAATCCTACAAATATTCATAGTGTGCTTTGTTCTAAAAAGGAAAAGTAAATACATATCTAATGCTTCAAACTTGAAAAACATTTTACACTTTCTTTATTTACAAAGTTGGAAGATTATTTAGTGCAGGAATTTAGAATTATTCATTGAACTCTTATCACCCACCTCAATATAAATAATTCGTATGATAGATATTGCATAACTAAATTATTTAATTGTAGGATGTAACAAATAGATGAGCAGTAATTGTTAACTAGGAAAATAATATACTTAGACATGTTCCTGACATACTATAAAAAATAGACATTGATTGACCTAATTTATACATGTTGAAATATGATTGATCAACAGCACCAATGCAATTTCCAAGCAACAGATAATACATACATATACATATACTTGTGTGTGTATATATATTTCAAATATTAGGTACAGCATCCATGTATTACGTCAAGATGTAAAGCATTAAAACAACTAGTGAGTATGTGCTAGAGACATTGACTACCACAAGACTTAAGTGAATCCATGCTAGGCTATTAACAAATACTAGAGGGAGAATGACATTAGAAAAATGGAATAATGTTAAAAGCTAAGAAGACATCAATGTACCCCACCATTTTTCTTTCCTGATAAAGGTTTAGGTGAATTTGTTCCCAAGATTCACTAAGACCAAAACATGTATCAACACTCAAAGATTGTTTACAGATATCCCATCAAAAGTTTTTCTCATCCATAGAACGATTTTAAAAAACAACCTTCAAGGACATGTGATTGATCCTCACCAGCCGAATCAGTTATTAGTAATTCTTTATTGTGTCTATACAATCATTTTTTTTCCTATTGTTACGACATTTTTGTTTTAACTGTCTCTTTCTTTCACAGGATATCAATGGTCTATTTATCACTTTTCTCTCTATCATTTTCTCTTTTCTTCCATTATCTCTTACCTCCACTCCAAAGTTAGTTATGTCCTTTCTTTAGTGTGCAGTTCCATGTTGGAGTGTGAACATGTTTTTACTTGGTCATTTACACACTCCACACGGGACCAACTTAAAAAAACGTCAACAATGTCGCAAATCAACTACTTTTGTAAGAGGGTTGTGACGTGGGCGTCATAGTAAATAATTTAAATTTAAATTCATTAAACAAGACAAAATCCCACTCCATCTCCAACGTACAAAAGAGGGCAATCGGTTGGTCTTCACCTAAAAACAAAACACGAATACAATATAATAATGATTATATAAATGAAAATATGTCCATAACCTTATTCTTTTCACACAACACCATTTATACACGATGTGTCGATTGAACATGAGAATAAGGTTGCGAAATCAAATGTTTACCTGAGCGGTTGTTATCCAGTGGCAATGTAAGTGTTCCCTTACAAAGATTGCTGAGTTGTGATTCGATACTACACAAAAACAAGGTCGCTTCGTTGAATGGCTTGGACAACTCCTGCTTGTATCTATGAAGAATTTCGCAGTACGATTCCTAACATGCGTTGCAGCAACAATTAAAGTCTTCATCCCAGCACAAGTTTATCAATCCTTTCTTTTAACTCAAGCAAAACGTGTCCCTCCCGAAAGAAATTACTTTAAGATAGAAAAAGAAGAATACCATGAACTCGTCAAGCTCGGGATCGTCTCCTATCTCACGAAGAGCATGCGTTGGGTGGCTTTCACGGGCTATTTCTTCAAGAAGTGAAGCGAGTTCCGGCGGTGCTCCAACCTTCCAACAGTTAAAAATCACAACTTCCATTTATTCTTAATATTCACAGCAGAATTTCTGTAACTTTGGCTGTTAATATTAGGCATAGAGAATAGAGCACAAAGAGAAGAACCAGAATTAATTGAAAAAAGGAAAGAAAAGACAATTGATATGGCAGTGGCATAACCTTTCGGCATTCTATGTAAGCAGATACTAGATTTGGATAAAGAGGGTGAGTGGCGATCTGGGTCTTGATGAATCGTTCCGACATATCGGAACTTTCTGGCTCTTCTAGCTGAAGGAAGTTATTGGCCACAAGTCCTAGATTCAATTCAGATGCGGCGGCGGAGGAAACGTTGACGTTGACTCCTCTAACAACATCCTCGGTACAAGATAGGAGAGAGTTGAGCTTGTAAAAGTTTTCCATCGATATATATCCCTAGCTACTCTCCACTGAAAACCACTCTTCTCAGTCAGCAACTATATATATATATATATAAGCAGAGAATTTGCACAGAAGCAAAGTTTAAAAAGTAGAGGACATGGTGTGAGATCTAGCACGCAGTGCAAATCATGCAACAGTTTATTGAAAATGAGAATATAGGTAGTGAAATCAGGTGGGAGTGTGAAGAAGCGGAAAGGGGAAGTTGTTTCTTTTTTGTGTTGTTTGAGGTTGTTTTTGTGTGTTGTTGATGGAGTGATGCGGTGAGAGAGAAGGGTAAGTGGAGTTGATGAAAAGGAATGATGGTGAAGAAGGGGAAGAAAGTGGAGCTGTTACGGCACCTGGAAAGGGACGAGACCTTGTTTTTCTTTTCCAATAAAAACCTGGGGAAAAGGAAGAAAGGAAAAGAGAGAGAAAGAGAGAGTAATGGTAAGTGGGAAGTGCAGAGAGAGAGAGAGAGAGAGAGAGAGAGAAGAACTGAAACAGTAGAAAGGATTTGACAAGGTTAAGGTGTGTCTCTGCAAAGACATAGGCATGTAGGTGATGTATAGGCCGTATTTGTAGACGTCAGTCACTGATTTTCACCCTGACGTGACATATCGCCACGTGACTAAATTTGATTGGTGACTCTAGTGTATGGGTCCACCTACCTGCATGCAAGTTTGGAGGTAGCTATTATCATCTGCTTCTGCTAATAATTCCAACCTCACACACACGCTTTCTTCTTCTTCTTCTTGTTACGGCTTATCAGTAACAGTAAGTATTCTCAATTCCACTTCTACTTTCAACCATCTGCTACTCCTATCAGGAGTACTCCTCCATAACAATCACTTTCTTCACACACAACAAAAATAATTGTATTACATTTTTTTTTTCTAAGATCACCGGACATCACGTGACACCTCCAACTAATCTACGGATCATACGTGGTGCATATCTAATGAATATTTTGTAGGTTTTTTTTTAACGAACAATTCATCTCTGATTCAAAATTTTAATCCTTACAATTTATTGTTTTTCTCAAAAATATGTGTCATTTTCACCAGGATTAATTTAAGAACATCAATGGATGTAGTGGAGTGTTTTAGTTTATTTGAAAGTTTTATTTATTTTTTGGTTTAACTTACTATTTTCGATCTTCTACTCATGACAAAAAAATCAGCTATTCTCGTATTATATCTTACTAGCCTTAAGTAAGCCTTTTTGTCAACCAACAGTTCTCGGCGGGGAGAGTTGTACAATTAGATTGCGTTTATCTATGAGATCCGTAAATTTTACGGGATTTTTTTTATGCTATATACAAGCATTTATTTAATTGAATAAAATCTAAAATTTGTGTGACTTGTAGTATTGATTTTTATCTGATGCTATTAACACATTTATATTTTTTTATTATTTATTTTAAATTAAACAAATTCTATCTTTTACTTGTTTTTATCACTTTATTTATTTTCGTCTCACTTACTTTTATATGTTTATCAAATGCGCTTATTTCTCTTCTTTTACGTATTTATCTCCACCGATTAAATCGTAAACCTTAAATTCTACCGTATCATATTTATATGTGTGCGTGAGATGATTGTTATAAATATATAAAAAAAAAGGTAAAAATGGTAAGTGTAATTAAAGAATATTAAAACATGTTAATGTAACATATTTAAATTTAAATATTGGATTAATTAGGTTTTTTTTCTAAATTATATGAAAGTTTTAGTTTCCATTTCAATTTTTTGATCCATTTGGATCTCTCTCTCTCTCTCTCTCTATATATATATATATATATATATATATCTTTTAAATTTTACGTAAATTATAAAAAATGTAATATTCAAATGTATGTCTATGGAGAAACCAATTTTTGTAAAGTACATAGTTAGTAAAACTTGTTTTTTATTGGTTAAATTAATAAATGACATAATGTTTTCCAATTAATTTAACAATAATACCATATTTTTAATGATGATTATTTTACTATCAATGTAAATGATCAATTGTAAAATGTATCAAGTTGTATAACATATCTTTTCTAGAATAAAATTTATATTTATGAGTATGATGTCTTAATGAATCTCCAAATATGAATCTCCTCCCACTTTCATAATTAGACATTTTTCTCTGAGTAAAATACTAACAAAAAGTCAGGATAATATTTTCGTGGAATCTTCATTCAAAACATCATTATTGATATCACATCAAAGATCAATGAAATTTGTCAATTTCAAAAACACTTATTTTTGCAATTCTGATTTCAATTTTTACGAGCGAAAACTAAAATTTTATTTATTTAAATCATTCAAAATTAAGAAAACCATCCAAAATTTTAAATTAAAGTATACATGACTTCAAAATAAGTTTTATCTTAATTAAATTCAAATACACAAAAAAAAAAATCTTTTTTCCAAAGCTCCTCATTTCCATGCATCCATGTAAACATATATAATAATATCTATTCCAGTATGATGTCTTGGTATACATATACAATCATCGCAGATAAAAATTTCATTTATAACTTACAAGGTGAGCCAACAAAAACATATTAACAAAGCTTAATACCTCTTTTGGTATGTCTTTAAAGGCGCAATGTTTAAATTCGTTCTACCTTTTTTAAAAAGTTCAATGTGGTCCCAAGTTGTGAAAAAAATGTACAATTAAATCCTTTTTAGTCACGGCGTTAAATATTTAACGACCCAGCTGACAGTTTAGTCACGACGTTAAATATTTAACGACCCAGCTGACAGCGTGAAGTAATGTATGCAACGTTTAGGTTCATAACGTGACTGCATAAGGGGTAAACATGTAATTTTGTGAGTTAGGGTTTAGATTGCAGAAATCGCGATTTGGGGTTAAGCATTTTGGAGGAGCTGCCTTCCAAACTGGGTGATCTTGAAGCTGAAAACGGTGATTCTGTTGGAGTAGATGGCATTTTGAACGAAGGCGGAAACAGAATTAGAGGCTTGGACGTGCAGTGTTCCAAACCACAACACAAAAACAGTGAACGTCACCGTTACGACCATACCCCACCTTAACCCCATCATCATTCTCCTTCTCTTTCGCAAATACATTGTTCCTTTCCTTCCTCTTCTTCGATGGTCGCAGTGACGCGGATTTCTCAAAACGCAATGCAAAACCGTCGTTTTGGTGCTGGGACTCAAGGAAAGCACCTGTTTCTTCTAACATACATAGGAGTTCTTCAATTAACTTAATTTAATTATTTTTTACAAACTTTAATTTTAACTGTTACCTTATTGTACAACTATGAAAAGGATTATTAAATATCCATGTTATAGAAAATATCAAATTGTCTTTTTTTCACTTATATTTTTCCCTTCTTTTTCCTTTTCCATCTCATCATTCTTGTTTAAATATTTCAATCCAAATTTAATATTATTACTTTTATTAATTTATTTTCTTTATTCACAATATATTTATGGATCCAAATAAAGAATTATTTATATATAAAATTTAATAGTAAAATCATTTATATTATTTAAAAAGTTGCTTTTTAATTTGAAAAATAATTAAATTAACATTTTCAATTTGAATAAAATTTAAATAATAATGTTAAATTTTTATTAAAATATTAAATAACATTTTTTATTTAAATAACTTTTCAGCAATTAATATTAATTTTTTATTAAAATATTAAATTATTTATTCAAATAAAATTTAATCACTAATATCAATAATGATTAACTTTATTAAATTTATAAATTTATTAAAAATAAAAATGTCTAATAATTATTGAAATAATGTAATTAGTTTACTTTAGTAATTTATATGAATACTTTATTTTGAAAAAGAGTTGAAGTTATTATAAAAGAAATTTCAGTCTATTTTCCATTTCACTAAAGTGAAGAATAAAAGTTGTTTCCTAAGGAACCAATTTCTGAAAGCAAGAACTGATAAATCTATTCCGTAAATTTTTGTGCTAATAACTTTGTTTGGAAAAGGGTTTATTGTGTGGAAACAATATGTTAATAATAAGCTGCTGGAAAATTGAAATGAATAACACTTGTATTGGGTCTGTCAGACTGAAATGAACCTAAACAGTCACGTTGCACACATCATTCCACGCTGTCAGCTGGATCGTTAAATATTTAACGCCGTGACAAAAAAGGATTTAATTGTACATTTTTTCACAACTTGGGACAAAACTTTTTAAAAAAGGTAGCACGGACTTGAACATTGCCCCCCTAAATAGGGACCAAAAGAGGTATTAAGCCTATTAACAATTATACTACTTCTTCGTAAGATCAGAAAATAAATATCATGATCGGTCACTATAATGCACAAACCATAAACTTAATAAAACAAAATCAATTAATCATTTAGGAATTCATAATACAATTACACAACTTTCAAAATTCATAATAAAAAATATAAATTTTAAGATTTATCATCATTTCATTCATATCCCAAATAATCATACACATAATTTTAAAAACAAATTCATTCATATATCAAATAATGATAGAAACAACCATAGACACAAACTCATTTATAACTCAAATAATATTAATCACAACCACACATTAAAACTCAGTCATGTCCCGATTAATAATATGTATAACCTTTATAGAACCGGTGCATAAACTAGTATTAAAAGATCGTGCACCTATTATTTATAAATTTCTATAACTGTCAAAACGGGTAATCTGGCTCAACCCGGCCCGACTCATCACGGGTTGGTCGTTTAGTGAGCAAAGCCAACCGGCTCACTTATTAGCAAGCTGAAAAAATTCAAACCCGACTCGACCCACCACTGGTTGGTGGGTTAAACGGGTTGGCTCACTTAATTATAAGGTTTTTTTAAAATAAGAAAATTATAATTTTTTTTAATTCAAATCTAAATAAATTTTATTATAAAATAATGTTAAACTCCAAAGACAATTCAAAATATAAAAAAATATATCATACAATTTAAGCGTAATCTAAAATTAAACACAAAAGACGAACAAATAACTTTTTCATATTGATAATTTTTGTATCACTTATCTATTTATAATATTAGAGACTTGAATAGATAGATTTATAATATCTTTCCCTCTTGAAACATCTTTTTTTATCTCGTATACAATATAATAAAAAACATGCTAACTAATAATATTGAAACAAAAAATAATAAATAATTAAATTAAATTAGGTGGATAGGCTCACCAACCCAACTCACCACGGGTTCAACCCGTGTGAACCGGGTTCTAAGTGAGCCGATTGAAAGCTAACTCGCATAAAAAATTTACAACTCTTTCAAATTCAACCCAGCTCAAACCCGTGATGGGCCGAATTGACTCGCGAATTACAACGCATTTTTACATCTCTGTAAATTTCTTCTAGATCTACAACCAAAATATATACGGACTTTATTTGATCCATATTACAATTATTTTTGTAGCCAACAACCATAACCAAAATATATGTGGAGCATTCAATCCA